AAATTGGTCGATGATAATCATCGGCAGATTTTTCAAATAACATGTACACCGGATGCTTTACTATAGCCCACAAAATTCATGGATAGTTGAGGGTTTGTAATTGATAATTGATTCATGAATATTTGCGTGAATATTTATTACGAATATTCATGGTTACAATAATGGATGGGTATCTATTCAAAAATTCAGATATTCATTCAATGCTATTCGTAAACATCAAAACCCGCGAATATTTACTGAATAGCCATGATGGATATTCAAAGGATCCAACCTCTAGTTGGGTGGTTGCCGAGTTATCCTTGCTCAAAGTTTTACAAAAACTTCGCCACAACTATTATTTTGATAAGAGTTTTAAGCTTTGTAAAACTTTGAGCGAAGATAACTTGGAAATCACCAAACCAAATTCGATGAATTTTTTTTTATCTTGATTTTACAAATTTGTAGAATAATAATAAAAAAAATTCATCAAATTTGATTAGATGGTTACCGAGCTTTTTTCGTTCAAAGTTATACAAATTTGTAGAATAATAATAAAAAAAATTCATCAAATTTGATTAGATGGTTACCGAGCTTTTTCGTTCAAAGTTATACAAATTTGTAGAATAATAATAAAAAAAATTCATCAAATCTGATTAGATGGTTACCGAGCTTTTTTCGTTCAAAGTTATACAAGTGTTTTTGTATCTATATTTTGATAGGCGTTTTAAATTTTCCAAGACTTTGGATAAATATAACTCATTAACCACCCAACCAAATTCGATGAAATTTTTTTCCTTTAATTTTAAAAGTTCTGTAGATTCAAAATAAAAAAAAGTTTGTAGAATTTTGATGGGTGGTTGCCGAGTTATTTTCGCTCAAAGTTATAAAACTTTTAATTTTCTAAAGAAAATTTGGGGTGCTATGCCGATAAGGCGATTAAGTCACGTGTTGCTGTGTCCATAGCAATTCCCTAAGTAAATCCCTGATCAGTGTATCGCTCGTCCCTCATTTATATCAACCCATTTGGATTAGACAATGATATTGACAAAGAAGTAGTTTTTATATTTCTTAAGCATATTTGTTCTTGATAAAAGGTTGATATTAACAAGAGGTTGATATGGGGTTGATATTAACGAGGGACGACTGTATCATCAAAAAACGCAAGTGCGTCAAATCCTATCTGATATCAAATCATAACAAATATTATATGACTTCCTATATCAAATACGAATAGCCAGTTAAAAATGTCAATTGGAATACTTAATCTACTACGAGAAATTAATAGGAATAAGGTATTATCATTATTTTACATTGACCAAATTTGTTCTTTTGTTATTGCAACTACTGCATCAAGAAATCTGACAATAAAAACGCAATTGTACAAGTCAACTATTTCCTTGCAATTAAACCTCTTTATTTGTTTCTTTTCGTTTTTTCGCCGCTTTTTTAGATTGTTCAATATTTGGTGCTGATACTTTACACTTGCCCAAAATTACTGATATCATTTCCATCTCAGGAATACTCTTGACTAATTCTTTTTCGCGTGGTGTCATGGCCGGATCACTTAAGAAAAATGTAGTAGCGGTTTTGCAAGCTTTTTAAATCATAAACATTTGCATTATAGCAATGATTGATGTATTTTAAATTTTTTAAATCCAACATTAACTATTAATAAAATAACAAACCTTTTCCTTTCTTCATCGATCCTGGTGTCAATTTAACTTTGTACTTGAATTTCTGCAAAGCTGTGTAAGGTGCACATACTGGTACGGCAAAGAGGAGGTTGTCGTCCGGTAATGGCATTCCAGTCAAAGTATCGAGGACAGTCAAACTCTCCTAAAAGATCATAGTGCGGAAAATTTGATATCAAGTAAAAGAGAGAAATGACCGCTCAAAATATATATTCACCATTGCATCATTCTCCAAAAGAGTAATGTTTTCTTCCTTTAAAAGTTGGCGAATCTCCTCGTCGTCTTCATTTTTAATTTCTGAAGCCTTTTTTAATTTCATAATGTAAATAAATAACATTAAATTGAATACACTTATGCTAATATATGTTACCAAATTTTCGTCAGGTTCTCTGAATTCCACTTCCTGATTTTGTGATGTTAGATTTTCTTGCGTATCATTCTGAGATTTATTAATGTCAGTTGAATTCTCCTTCAAATTACTTGTAACTTGTTTAGACATTGTTTGATTTTGCGTTTCCTTTTTCCCCTTTTTGCCCTTGATTTGGGGTGGTTTATTTGACTATAAAAAAAGGTTATTAATACAAAAATAACGCTAAAAAGAAAAAGCAGTTATGCACATCACTACATGATGTAATATTCTTACACCAAGCAACTCCATACGTAAAGATCTTTCATCTTCATCTTGATCAGCATATTTGTCCTTCAATTTTTTCAATTTTCCTTTTTTACCACGGGGAATTTGTGCTGGTTTCGTTGTTTGCTATTAAAAAAAAATTGTTAATAGTAATTAATTGAAATCAATAGTAAAAAATTCTTTTAAGACAAATGACTACCTTTCCCTTCCCAGAAACATTTGATCCTTTTTGCGATGCTAAATCTCCAGGAAGACCAGGTGCAGACGGTACAACAATTCCTGAACCTTTATCTCCAATAGCATCTTGTTTTTGTTTTTTTAGCATTTTCCTTTCTTTTGTCGAGATATATTTCTTCTTCTATATGTCGAGAGATGTATTACTAAATTATTTAAATCAAGTATATTACAACTTAAAAAGATTATTACCGATTTATCGCTGCTTCCTTGATTAATATCCTCTTCAGCATCTTCAGCATCTTTATCATCTCCATACTCATCTAGATTATACTTATCCCATGTGGAGGTGTCAAGTTTCATAGCACTCTGTAATTTTTCACTTAAGTCTAATTGCTGATTTAACGCAAGTTCTTGTGTTTCCTCTTCACTGTAATGCCCCTCATCCTCACTTTCAATCGACTTATCTTCTTTAAAACTCTCTGTGCGGATTTTTTGAACATCTGTTCAAATGAATAGAAAGTGCCCGTTTATTAAAGATTTAATAACATAACATGAATGTTGCATTCAATTAATTCATACCAGCTGCATCTTCCGGTTCACTATCGGCACTATTATCATCAAGATGAAGCTCTTTCATACCATTATTCTGTAATAGTTTAAATAGCAAACATTTATTAATCGTTCAAACGAAAACAAGTCTTATTAAGTAATTTGTCATAATATTACTTCTTTCTCTGCTTTTTCTCCTTCAAGAGACTCTTCTTCAGCTCTTAGTGGACGTCGTTCATGTAAATGATTTGCAATACTTTGCTCATCCAACTTGAAAAATAAACCAAGACCATACACCAATTGTACAGGTGGTAAGAAGTTTTTTTTGCCACGAACCATAAAAGAACCTGTTGTAAGATATTCTCCAGTTGGTGCGGTTTTAGATACCTAATTGGAAAACATGGCATTGTGTTGTTAATAAAATCATTTCCGAAGATACAATAGCTTAACACTAATTAAACAATACGGATTCTATAGTGCACAGAAGCCTACTTGATCCGCATAGATCCAATACGCGCTAGTGACTATCTTCGCTTCCCAAGCTTTGCTTTGGCAGACTGACATAATTCCGGCTTGAAAAAGTGTGCTCGGAGGCACTGGCTGACTGTCATTAGGGTTCTTAATAATAACTGAAGCAGCACCGTGCAAGTCGGCGTGGACATACAAATCTCCTTCCGGATTAAATAAGCATACTATTAACGAAATGGGAATTTAATCTGCAAAGAGAAATATGATATAGCGCGTAATTTACCTTTACGAAGATATCGTTTAACCAACAGTTCATTTTGTTGCATGTCACGCCCAGCAATGACAAGATAATTTTCAGATGAGATAAACCATAAAAATTTTTCAAACCAAAAGGGCTTGCGAATTTTATTTATAGACGCAGTTGTTTTTGTTTCTTTAAGATCTTGTTTAATCTTTTGCTCAGCACTTTTAAATGCCTATATAAAAAAAAATCATAAGCAAAATTGGATTCTGATGCTTGGATATATATAGAATGTATCACTTATTGACTGCTATTTTAATACAAACTTTGTCAGCAACAGCTAACGTTTTCGCCTGTTTGATCATGGATTGTTTTTTTATATCATAGAATTTCCTAGCATTGGCATATGCAGATAAATATATATCAACATCAACATTGTCATGTATTGTTTCTTGTGAGTGGCTCTGTTCTCTTTCAGATTCTTCATCTGAAGAGTCATAAAAAGCCTCATCAATTTCTTCTGGTTCCCTATATAGCATCATATAAGGAACAATCAATCCATTATATAATGATAAAAGGTGATAAAAATAATTCAATAGAATTAATAATAATAGAGAACTCTCTAAATACACCTTATATCTCAGCCTCAATCAATTTTCTATTAATATCTATGAGTGCATACATTGTTGTATTCAGTCTCATGGTATCATTTAGAGAAGTTCTCTATGGTTTAATAAAATTTATATACTTTAATGACAATGTAATATGATTTGTTTCCAGCTTCAATCCTGCAATTATAGCAGCTATTGGATTTCCTTGTTTTTTTTCCTCCATAACTAGATTTTCAAGGTCTTTCCAATCCATTGAGCTAGCAATGGCATTTCTTATTACTACAATTGCTTGATCTACTATGTCGACATTCGACTCGATCAATCTTGCTTTACGTATGTTAATCTCTTGTGCACTTTGTAGACTTTCCACTCTGGAATATTGCTCTTTTTTAATAGCCTCCAACTTTTTTAACGCTGCCTTCTCCTGGTTTCGCTGTTTTAATAACAATTTTTGACTTTCCATAGACGAATAATACTCATCGACAGCCGAATCAAATGAATCAAATTCTTTGTAGGGCTTCAATTTATGTTGTTCGAAGAGGAAAGGATGAAACTCATCATAACTGTAAATTGACAGTTTAAAACTATTAAAATCCATTGATAGTTGAATTTATAACGCAACACTATAATAACATACGTTGTTACATCTTCTTCAACTTCACCATCATTTTGCAAATGCTTTAACATAATAATATATCCCTATAAGAGTTTAACACAATAAATATTGGCCCAATACACACTATTTACATAAATACAATTAACACAATTATGCCTTTTGCCTAGCTCTAGCAGCATCTTCTATTATGCGATCTACTTCAGCAAAACCTGATTCTAAAGCACTCAAATGCAATGAATCTAAATTTTACACGGAACATTGTTAGATCCAAAAATTGTTTAGATAAATGAAATATAAATTCAGTATTTATATGAGTAAACCTTCGGATTTGTCAACTGTTCCAACTTTCATATTTGGATCCAGATTTGCCAAGCGAATGGCATGCTCGGTCAATGACTGTCCGTAACCTATAATTGATGTTATGTTATTGCCAAATCATTCTAAATAGGTAAAAAACATAGCATGATCAAAAAATTCCATTACAAAGGTAATCAACATACTCAACTTAGCATTTAACACCTTCTTTAGCGATTCTTTGGAAGTTTGAGTAGTCAATGCATCCTGTAAACGAGACTTTGTTACTGGATCACCTACACGAGATACAGCATTGATATTGTATATTTGGCCGACGGCAATCTTTTCATTCTCTTTAGGTTGAACGATACGTAATAACGATAATATTTTATATTCATGATCTGTAAAGATAATATTTCCCTGATAAAGATTCGTTAGAAACGAATAACGTACCAAAACAAAATGATTAATTTTTAAGAACTTACTGAAGCGTAAAACTCTGCTATAATATGGTAAGTTGTGCCTTCACCAATGCCGCCAAATTCAAAGTCAATAATCCGATCAACACCTAGTTGTCTTATATCAGTTAGTCTTCGTGTCCTAATATGCTTACGTATCTGAAATAAAAGTGTATATTAAACATAGTGAATGTCCGGATCTAATCGCTATTATCATAAATAAAATTGATTATTTTTTGGTACCTTTATACAAAAAGGTGAAGGACTAATCGATTTATCTCGAGAAAATTGTGTCGTATGAATCCTGTTTCCAGATTCAATTATCAAGAATTCCTTCTTGTCCGGCTTTATTTGATTTAAAACATGATAAAACGTTCAAAATTAATTTTAAAGATTGTGACTAAACAGAAATATATCTTCTATAAATACTTTTAATGACCTTTGAAAATTTAAATAAATAAGTTTTTGGATTTATGTCGTAAACGTTTTGTAGTCTTAATCCAACAATTCTAAAATTTTAGAATAAGTAAGCATTAATTTCGAAATGTTTGTAGGAAAAAAAAATCAATTAATAGTTTATAGTACTTTTCTTTTAGATCGGACACCATGGCCCGCACGTCAAGCGCGGAAAATTTCTGTTTCATTTTATTGTTGAATCAAAAGTGCGAAAATCGAATAATCGGTCGGTCAAATCTCCCCTAATACTAACCACGTGCAGGACTTTCTCATTTTTCGGAAAAGCACGGGATTTTCAGGCAACGCCAGGGCGTAAGGTGGGGTGGTCGGTCATAGTCAGACATTCGTCTGATTGGCTGACGTAAATCAATTGCCCGGGTAACTTATTTATACACTTTAAAGTACT